CTTTTCTTCATATTTTTTTGATGACCTTGTTTTTTTTTTTTTTTTTTTTTTTTTAGGTCCGCGTTCGGCCCGAACGACCAAACGCATCCCCAAGGGGTCCCATACGTTCGGGCGCTCGGCCCGTCCCGAACGCTGGTTACCCTGCATGCGATAATGTGAAAAAGCGGTTGAGATGACGAAAAAGTTAGGAACAAAAAAAATGTAGTCATGAATGTTCTGTGATATTATAATATGAGTTTTATGAATAATTAAAAAGGAAGAGTCTCGATAGTAAGATTAAAAAACAACAATAAACTTAGGCCGCCTTCCAGTAAACGGTATCGAAGGAAAGCAAAGGATGCTCAAGAATAATCAAGGTTCGTATGATTGGTCTACATCGACCGCTAAAAATACTCAGGCAGTTATGTGAAGCAAATGAAGTGTTATTGGGAGGGTTGAGTCGCACCATGTATTTCGAATGAATATTGGAGAAGGAACCAATTCGATAACTCGCGCTCAATACTGAGTCCGATAGCATCCGAATCAGGATAATCAACACTAAAAAGGTCACGCACCTCCCCATGAACGTCATCAAGAACACGATTGTTAACAGAAGCGGCATCGTCATTTATAGGGTATAGAATTAACCGAGGCAAGAAATAATCGGTATCCCCCACATGGTTGGACACATCATCAAACGTCCATGAAATCAACTCATCAATCGATTTATCCGTACAAATCTCACGTGCCAATATGACCGCAGCAGGTTCATTAGGAACAACACGAGGATAAAGTGGCCATATATTCGTTCCATTTCATCATTACCCAAACTTATAATTCGCATATTTTCGGTGAGTTGATAAACCTTAAAAAGTTTCCACAAAGGAAACATTTTCATGGACGTATCAATTTGTTGCGCTCGTGATCCGTGTTTCACAACCGGCAAAACCTGTCTAAAATCCCTAGCGAGAAGTAAAACTTTTCCACCAAACAGCTCGTCACTGTTACAGAGGTCCCGAAGCGTAATATCAAGAGCTTCCAAGTGGAACTCGTTACTCATCAGAGCCTCATCCCAAACAACCAAGGCGGCACGGCGGATAAGCTCCGCAAGATCACTTTGTTTCGGAATCAAGAAGGGGCGCGTGTTATCAGGTTTCAAAGGTGTGTGAAATCGTGAGTGAAACGTTCGATCCCCCGTCAAAAGAGTAGTCGCTATCCCACTGGACGCAACGACCAATGCAATGGCGGAACGCGACCTGATGCCCGCAAAAATCATTTCAATGCAAAATGTCTTTCTTGTTCCAGCCGGTGCATCGACAAAAGTACGCAACGGTTTCTTCTCTTGCACAGCCTGAACGACTCTTTCCACCAACACTCATTGAAGTGGACGAAGACGTCGAAAATTAGAGTCATATCTGCGTTGCATTTGAATCGGATCATACGTCAACTTGTCGTTTAGAATCGAGGATACAGTTCTCTTCTCGTAATGTCTGGTTATGTTCTCAGCAATTGTTTCTCCATCAGGCGTCGGATAATAAAGTGAGAACTAACGGATGTTTTTTCCAGGCTCTTGCAAAGTACGATCAAGATGGAATAACACTAACGATTATAAAATATTCTGGGGAACAATTTCATTGCCTGCGCAATACTTAAAACCGTCACACATCTTATCCCAATGTCGTTCGAAGAAACGGACCGGATCGTTCACTGGACCAAACGCGGGAAGTATAGCGAATATTTTACGAACTTCTTCAGGCATGTAATGTGCAGCGGATGTATCTATGCATTGACCGTATGCATCATCTGTTTGCAAAAGACACAATCGAAGACACACGGATCGGAAAGAATCGTATTCCACTCCGTCCACTGTACGAATTTCAGCAAAAGAGCGCACCCCACGAGAATGTTCATGGTTTAGCAACACACGCAGATAGAATTATTCGCCTTCCACGATCCTCACGTGATGCAAATCGAAATATCTTTTTGAAGGGACCACCGTGAAGATCACRTTTTCTTYRGTTCCACTTCTTATTTTTGTTATCCCACACATGAGTATTAACGATCTCTGCGTACCGAGGAAGCTCCTCTTTAGGAACATGGGTATTCAAAAAGTTGTGTTTCATCCATGCCGTCAATTTCGTTTTCGAGGGTCCTTGCGAAACAACATCATGCTCAGTGTCAGGTTCGAATTGCACTTTTTGCATGGTTTCGAGATGCACGGACAATCTTTCGACCGCGTGCCATTGCTCCGCAACGTCGAACTCAAATAGACGTCAGCATGCTTCGCATGCAGCTACAACACGCATATCTTGATACAATTTGACCTCGTCGATGAGCGCATTATTATCCTGTTCGCAAACTATAGCACGATCACACCCTTTGTACACGTATTTATACACGTACTTGCACGCCTTGATGTGAGCACAATATTCAACATTTATGTGGCAATTAAACCTCATTAGCGAGTACGGGTTATATGGGACTACACGCCGATTGTCGTAAACCACTCCATTTTGAACAATCGTAAAACCACCGTCACTTGGTTTCCTTCTCCTATACGAAGGGTAAGTTTGCTCGTCTTTGAATGTTGTTGTTGAAATTAAGTCTTTCGGAAACCCTTTTGTGCATTCTTCGTCCTCCATACACGAAGCGTCGCGTTTCTCCTCACCGCAAATCCCGT